GGAGGGATTGAACATGATGGTGAACAAGAGGAGGACCAAGGGTCCACAAGTGCAAAATCGAGTGGAGAATTATGTGCAAGAAGATAGTGGTTTTGAGCATGATGATTCCTTTAACGAACAAGAGGTGGAAGTGAAATATGGGAAAACATTTCTAGGGTAAAGAAACAACTTCCAAGGCCCAAACCAATAACAATGGCGACCTCAAAAAAATCAAGGAAATTGGAATTCTAACAATCAAGGAAATTGGAGCGGAAACAATAATTAAGGGAATTGGCATAACAATAACAATCAAGAGAATTGGCATAACAACAACAATCAAGGAAATTGGAGTGTAAATAATCAAGGGAATAGGGGGGGGGGTAACAATCAAGGCGGATGGAACAACAATCAAGGGAACCGGGGGTCGGGTTTTTAAAGTCCCACGATGTATCAACAACCGAGCAACCTGCCTCCTTATCCTACCCATAGTTCAAGTTCTTCAAACAACGAGATGGGGCGTATTGAAAATATGTTCAAGAAAATGATGGAAAAGAATGTCGATTCAGATGCCCAACTTGCCCTACACAACACATCAATCCGCAACCTAGAAATTCAAATGGGGAAAATCTCCCAAGCTCTAAATTCTCGTCCTAAGGGGGCGCTACCAAGTGACACAATAGTAAGCCCAAAGGGTGAAAACAACATGGGACATGCCATGGCCGTTACTACAAGAAGTAGAAGATATGGAAATGCACCCACCTTAAGTCAAAGGCAACTTGTGAATGATGACCAAGTGGTGCAAGAAGAAGAGATCCTGACCAATGTGGTGCAACCTAATGATGAAAACCGGATTGATATTGATGATAGTGTGGAAGAGACTCAAGAGGAGGTGAACCCATCTAGGGATCACATCATTGACATATCAGAGCTGGTAGTACAAAAGATTAAGGCACCATTGCCTAAGCCTCCACCTCCATACCCTCAAATCCTTTCCAAGCAAAATGGTGAGAATCAATTCAAGAAGTTCATTCAATGGCTCCTAAGTTGGAGGATCCCGGTGCTTTCACGATTCCTTATACAATTAGAAGTGCCAAATTTGCTAAATCTCTTTGTGATCTTGGGGAAACTATCAATTTGATGCCCTATTTGTTTTTCAAACTTTCGGGATTGGGCAACCAAGACCCACCTCTATGATATTGCAAATGGTCGATCGTACTATGAAGAGGCCTTTGGGAGTGATTGAAGATATCTTGGTTTGTGTTGATAAATTCATTCTTCCGGCGGATTTTGTCAATCCAGATTGTGAAGTTGATTATGAAGTACCGATTATTATTGGGAGACCTTTCCTTGCTACGGGGAAGGCTCTTTGTGATGTTGAAGCCGGAGAGCTTACATTTTGGGTTGGTGATAAAAAAGTGGTATTTCATGTGTGCAAGTCCATACGGCAACCAAATAGAAATGAGGTGTGTTCGTTTGTGGACTTGGTGACTGATCTCGTCCAATTTCACTCCTCTATTTGAGGATATGAAAACGGTCGATGCAATAATAATACCCAACAGAGTCGGGGTCGAATTCCACTGGAAGGTATGTGAATGGGTGCTAGTAGTATATATCTTAGTGCGTGAAATTGCATATCTTGATTTGCACTTCCGGAATATTGGGTTTTGTTTGCAAATCTAACTTAAACTACTATTGCGATTTTAAGAACGAAACTAGGAAATTGTTTTAGGTTGTTTTTCAAATGATAAAAAGGCCTAGGGCTATGACCTTCACCTAAGTGTTCGCTTAATGGGTTGTAAGCCTTAAAGCTTGTTTTATTGCTCAGGGTTTATTATAGTTATCAACACTCAAGTACCCACTCAATACCTCTCGGTCAAAGAGTGATTTTGCCCAATTTGGCTTTCTCAAGTCCAAATGGGTATTGAACAAAGCAGTTGATAATAAGCTCAAGTCGGATTTTACTATCTCTAAGTTCAACCCTTTAATTGGACTTATCAATCTCTTGATTGACCCAATTTCTTGCTAGCCAAGTTTTTCTAGATTAAGTCTCTCTTTCTCAAGTAGAGACCAAGTCAAATAGGCATTAAATAATGTATGCAACCATTAATTCTTCAAATAAAAGCAAAAATAAGGCTAGATAATCAACACCCAACCATAAACAAGCAATAAATCAAACACCCATTAAATTTACACACTAGGGTTGGGTCACAATCCTAGTAAAAATCTAGCTACTCATGCTTAAATTAGAAGAAAAAGAAGAAGAACGGATAATTAAACCCATAACAATAATTAATATGATAAAAGTAATATTCAAAAAGCTAAAAATAGCAAAAACTACTAAAAGGAGCAAAGTAAAACATCTAGAGTGGTTGTTGATGTCAAAAGTTAACCTAAAAAGTGAATCTCTTCTATTTATACAGTGCTGGAATTTTCGGATAAAAATGCCCTTTCGGAGGTTCTACGGTCGCACAATTCCATGTGCGGTCCGCACTTTGCTTCAACCTGCCATGAATAGAAACATGCGGTCGCATAATTCTGAACTGCAACCGCACTTCATTCTTTCTGCGGTCCGCACATTTCATAGTGCGGCCGTACATTGCTCTTCTGCGGATCGCACAAATATGAGTGTGGTCGCGTAGCTGATCTTCTGCGGCCGCACTTCTGTTGAACTTGAATGTAGATTTTATGAACTGTTGCTCTTGCCCAGGTTTTGCGGCCGTACATTTCATGTGCGGACCGCACTTTGCACTTGTCTCTGATGGGGTTTGCTTCATAATCTGCGGCCGCAGATGATAATCTACGGTCCGCACTTTGAGCTTATGTGCCTATTTTCGTCCTTGAGTTCAGATTACTCCTTCTTGAGTTGGATTTCATCTTTGGGGCTCATTTTCCATTATTTCTATAAATAAGCATATTTTATCAATTTTCGGGAATACAATTAAACGTTTTTGGACTAAAATGAAAGCAAAAAGATGCTAATAAGTAGTCAAAATCTCCACTTATCAACTCCCCCAAACTTAAGCTTTTGCTTGTTCTCAAGCAAATAAGGTAATTCCCACCTCCACAAGTTGAGAGCTATTCCAGCTAATCAAAAATGCATCAATCACACATCAATTGGGACCAACAATTACCTACAACACTTATGAATTATTAACAAGGCAATGGGTTGAACTTTTAAGCACAAATAGTTCTAATGTGACACTTGAGCATCAATAGTTGACTTAATTCATCAAGAAAGCTCGCTCTTTCATGTAGGTCATTATGGATCCCAAAATCATCCTCCTCTACTCTCCATTTGCATAACTCACTTACGAATGTAGCACTCAATTCAAAGATTTGTGAAAGGTTCGCTCATCTCTCTCAAAAGAATGTCACAAGTACGGCTTTAAGTACCATAGACTTACCCATAATGTAAATTACCACTAATGTAAGCTCACCCAGCTTGAAATCACGTATGGATTTTTAGGAATGCAATGAAGGCTTTTGGACTAAGGTTGGATATGCTATGATAGAACGGGTTCATCTTTCCTTAAGCACTCCATTTGTTTTCTTATCGGCTCATCCTTTGCCAACTTTTTGAGTCATTTTCTTTTCCATGGGGTGG